ATACCGAGGTTCCAGGCTTGCGCCTGACTAGTCCTCGAGGAAACAGCTCCGGCCCCTCAGACACTGCCTCCAATTAAACCGCGGTAGCCACATAATGGCTCCCAGGTACTTAATACCCTCAACTACCGCGCACAAGAAGTCGATCCCTAAGTGATCGCTCGCTGGCCCTCCAGCTCTAAGTTGGCCCCACCTATCCAGCCGCTGGTTCCCACCGAAGTGATCGCTCGCTGGCCCCCCAACTTCATGCTGGCCCCATCTATCCAGCCGCTGGTTCCCACCGAGTTTCAGCCTCCCACACTGCCGCTTCTAGTCCTCAGTATTAATTGTTCCACCATTGCGCTCCGGGGGGCTAATTTACATGCCTCATTATGGTTTAAACTTTTAAGTGAAACGGTCACCATTTTCATTTTTGCGAATGTAGGTATAATTGAACGTTTGATGATTGTGTGAAATGATTAGGCATAAGAACTGCAAAAGAACAAATAAATATCACCTGTTTAGTTCACAGTAATTGTGTGTCAAATAATCGTGGTAGCATAAGAGGTTGAGAGAGAAAGAAAGGAAAAAGAAAAAGAGAGAAAATAATAGTTTTTTGGCGATGATGATTGAATGGTTTTATCAATAATACTGCTTTGTTATCATTGGAAAAGTCTGGATTTGTGTAGAGATTTGAACTAATTTGTAAGTAGAATTTGAGAGTGATCAAGTGATTAAAGAACCTTTTTTTTGTGTTTGGGTAGCTGCAAATGGTTTGATGGAGATTTTTTTGGTCGCAACTCTTTGCCCTTTTTTTTTGTTGGGGTTGTAGTGGATTGTGTAGTGTGGAATTTGGTATTTAGTGTTTTGATGTTTCATGGTGTTTTAGGAGTTTTTGTTAACATAATACATTGTACTGCTTTAATTAATTCAACTCTTGGATTAAAGAAAATCACAATTAGTAAAATGATATTTGTTTTCCTACAAATAGTACCAATAATGTCTGTATCCAATACTTGTTTTTAATCAATTAGTACCTACTTTGGTCGACGGAAATGGATTACTTTAATTTTAGTCAATGTTTGTTAAATTAGTATTAGTCCTTGAGTTAGAAAATACTAATTATATGGTAATTTAGTACCCAATATCAGGTCTTTAGTACTAACTCCAATGAATATAAAAAATTACCTAACTCCGTCTTAAATGATGTTTATATTACTCAAAATTACTCACACATTAGTTTCTATGAGGTTTTTGAATGTGTTTAATTAAGTTTCATCGCTAATAGGTCATGAACTCAAAACACTAATGAACAAACACTACTATTACACTTCATCTCATTGAATGATCCACGTGAGATGGTAGACATGACAAATTAATTAATTCGCAATTAGTAAATTGGTATCAGTTTTACTGATAATAGTATCACATCTTCTTCTATGCATTACCGGTTATTGATCAATTAGTACCTACATTGCAGAAAGAAAAAAAATGGATTACTTCAATTATGGTCAACATTTGCAAAATTAGTAATAAGATAGTACCGATATTATGGTGTTCTAGTACCAGATACCTGGTCTTCAATACCAACTTCGACGAACATAAAAAAAAAAAAAAAAAAAGTTAAAAACCAATTTCGTAAGATGGTACCAATTTTTACAAAAATAATACCACCTCTTCTTCTATGTAGTACCAATTCTTGATGAATTAGTACCTACTTGGAATAAAGAACAAAAAATGGATTACTTTAATTATGGTCAACATTTACAAAATTAGTACCAGACCTAGAGTAAGATAGTACCGATATTATGGTGTTCTAGTACCAGATACCTAGAGTAAGATAGTACTAGTTTTATGGTGTTTTAGTAGCAGATATCGGGTCTTCAGTACCAACTCCGACAAACATAAAAAACACCGAACTTCGGCCTCAAATGATGTTTATAGGAACAATTATCACTCTCACATTAGTTCCTATGAGATTTAAAATGTGTTTAATTAACTTTAATCGCAAATTGGTCACGAACTCAACACATTAATGGAAAAACACTACTAATACACTTCATCTCATTAAAACACACACTTCATCTCATTGAATGATCATACATGACTACTCCAAATTCTATATATATGTTTTAACTTCCACTATTTCTCAACCAAATCAAGCGTGAACGATCCACGTGGCATGGTTGACGTGGAGGATTATAGAAATCACGATTACTGAAACGGTACCAGTTTTGATAGAAATAATACCGCTTCTTCTACTGCGTAGTACCTGTTTTCAATCAATTAGTACCTACTTTTGGTCAACAAAAATAGACTACTTCAATTTTGGTCAACATTTGCAAAAATTGGTACCAGACTTAGAGTGAGATAGTACCAGCTTTTGATGTTTTAGAAACAGATATCGGGTCTTTAGTACCAACTACGACGAACATAAAAGAACACCGAATTTTGGTCTCAAATGATGTATATATGACCCATTACCACTCTCACATTAGTTACTATGAGATTTAAAATGTGTTTAATTAAGTTTAATCGCAAATTGGTCACGAATTCAACACAATAATGAACAAACACTAAAAATTTTCATTTTATGGAAACAAATTTGTCATCTCATTGATTGATCATACATGACTACTCCAAATTCTACCTATATGTTTTAACTTTAACTATTTATCAATCAAATCACGCGTCAACGATCCATGTGACATGGTAGCCATGGAGGATTAAAGAAATCATGATTAATAAAACGACCAGTTTTGACAGAAATAGAACCTCTTTTTCTTCTACGTAGTACCTATTTTTAATCAATTAGTACCAACTTTTGGTAAGTGAAAATGGATTACTTCTATTTTGGTCAACATTTGCAAAAATTGGTACAAGACCTAGAGTAAGATAGTACCAACTTTTGGTGTTTTAGTACTAGATATCGGGTCTTTAGTACCAACTCCGACGAACATAAAAAAAACACTGAATTTCGGTCTCAAATGATGTATATTTGACCCATTATCACTCTCACATTAGTTTTTATGAGATTTAAAATGTGTTTAATTAAGTTTAATCACAAACTGGTCACGAATTTAACACAATAATGAACAAACACTACAAATTTTCATTTTCTGGAAACAAATTTGTCATCTCATTGAATGATCATACATGACTACTCCAAATTCCACCTATATGTTTTAATTTTCACTATTTATCAATCAAATCACGCGTCAACGATCAACGTGACATGGTAGACATGGTGGATTAAAGAAATCGCGATTATTAAAATGGTACTAGTTTTGACAGAAATAGTACCGCTTCTTCTTCTGTGTAGTACCTATTTTTAATCAATTAGTACCAACTTTTGGTCAGAGAAAGTGGATTACTTCAATTTTGGTCAACATTAGCAAAAATTAGTACCACACCTAGAGTAAGATAGTACCAGCTTTTGGTGTTTTAGTACCAGATATCGGGTCTTTA